CTTTGAGCTGCCTGTCTTCTGCCAACGACTCATCACTGGTTTCAATGGAATTATCTGAATAATAAAAGTTTCCATGGATTATTTTGTCATGTTTAAAAATAACTAATCAGTCTAACAGAAAAGCATCAACAGCAGAAGATGTCAGCATAAGAAAAAAAAGAAAATACCCAAGGTAAGGGTGCAGCGAGAACAGCCGGCTTGAGGCAACTAAGGGAATCGATGCTGGCTGGACTGCATCCTGGAGAGGTGACCTCTGAGTGATCGTAATAAGCTCTCTGAGCTGAAATTAAAAAGAAAATCCACTCACATTTTATCAATGATCTGCCATTTGTTGACTCGTACTTCAAGAAGGTGACATACCCTTTGATGCAGTGTGTTCTCACTTTTTCTGTACTGCAGGATTAAAAAAACAAAGTTATAAACTGTACAGAAGTGGCTGTAGAGAACCGTTTTATGCGACTTAAAGTCACAACCATGCTTTCAAATGATTTGTCTCTTACTTTTCGTCCCAGCCATGAAGTCTCCCTCTCCCTTCTCTTTAGGCGACGACTGCAAAGACAAAACTGAACTCAGTACAGTCCGACAGTCCAATCACACCTCAAAATACAATAATAACGCAAATCCTCAAAAGTAGTCATACCGTCGTGCCATGGATTCTTCCAGTGTCATCTGAAGAAGAGATTAAAAAATGTCAGTGTCAATGGCAAACAAAGGTAGTTGACCTTCAGAGGTAAAATGGCAGATATTGTCCACAAGAGGCTGCACCTGCCTTACACTACAGGACAATGCTTTTATTTTTTGAAGTTAAATACATATATCATCAGCATTAAATCATGGACCATACTCCAGCAGGCTCCAGACTTGCAGCTTATAGGTTGTTTCATTTCTGACCACAGGATGTTGAACAAAGGAAACATCCAGAAATGTACTATCATGCAGCAACAGAAAGCCTCAGCAGTAACATTGTATCTATAACAGAGCACGGTTTAAAAGCCTCGAGCCAGCCTTTTCTTTGCATTATGCTTCCAATGACTCAGTCTTCTGATTTTCTGTCTTGCTCAACTTGTCTTGAGTAATAGTTCGAGGGTTTTCCTTGGAAACTGGGCATTTCTCATTTTCATTCTAGTTCCTGACCATTTTCAGTGGAATGCCTGTTAAACCACAGCTTCCCATACAGCAAGTGTGTCCAAGTGGAGGACAAATAAAGCGGCAGTCCTAAATTTGGATCAGTGCAAGGAAAAAAAAAAAAAAAAAAAAAAAAAAAAAAAAAAAAAAAAAAAAAAAAAAAAAAAAAAAAAAAATCCAGCAAAAACCTGACAGATGCAGCTTTACTTTCAGCTGATCCATAGAGTTAACATTAGTGGCAACAGTGCATCTACAGCCATCCTTAAAACTCCATCATGACTTGGGGCTGAATTTCAGACTTTGGTGTTTGGGATCTTGGCAAAATTAAAGGAATCAGATTTTTATCCACCGTTCAAAATCATATGCAAGTCGAATGACTTTTCAGCATGACAGTGATCGGAAAACATCTTGATAGAGAAGAGAACAAAAAGAAGCTGGCATCCAAAGAAGCGCTTTGAATGTTCTTCAGGAAGCCTGGAGAACTATCCCTGAAGACTACTTGAAGAACTTAAAATAAAAACTTGCTCAAGTGAATTCAGGCTGTCTTGAAGAATGAAGACTTCCAAGTATTAACTTTCAAACTGGCCAGAAGTGTTTTCCTTGTGCATACACTGTATTACCATGCATATTTGCAAAACATTGTTAAAAAATATAAAGAAATGAGGGGGGCTTAAGGGTTTTACACAGGATAATTGACCAGGTGCTTTGAATTGAACCCTAAACCACACTCTATCCCATGTTCAGGTGTTAATTTATCTGTTGTGCTTCATGACATTAATCCAATCAGTGTGCACTTCATCGAAAGCTGCCATTTAAAATTCAAGGATGCAAACTTTGCTCACTTGTTTTTAAACGTCACTCAACCATAGTGAGCTTTGTGGGTCGAAAAGCAAGGGTGAGAATAGCCAAATCACTTGCTTAAAAATAAAGTTAAATAAAAATATCACTATCGCGTGTTTCTTTAAGTATGTCCTTTGGCTCTACCGCGGCGTGCGAAGGCTACAGAAACGAGTGAGCGGTGTAAGTGAACCGCAGAGAGCGGAACTACTTTTACCCTTTAAAGTGACAGCTGCAAACTTACCGTCGTCTCGTCACTTGCCTCTGATGCCATTGCGCGTACGTTTACGACACGTGCATGTTGCGCATGCCTATAAATACTCCCAATCGGAGCAATCATGTTTTTTAATTAAAACATTTAAAACAAAGTTGACTACTTGCAACTGTTTACCTTACGTTTAAATTCACACTGCTTTAGCGTCAAACGCCTAACCACTGGAAGGAGAATAAACTACCGAATAAAATAATAAAATAAAATATATAAAGCATTACGATATAAGTGAGAATTTTTCTGCATTACAGTTAAACACAGTTCAGACTTTACTGTTTCAGAAAAACGTGAAAAAAAAAACCCCGCCAGCATCAAACTGGTTTCTTTTCTCTTTTTTTATGAGTTAAATGTATGTATGGCGGTGGGTGGAGCTACATATCAGAACAGCCAATAGGAGAAAGAGTTGAGTTGAGCGCGTGCTCCTGTAGGGGGGATGTAAACATTTTTTTTTTCTTCAAAACTTTATTAACGCCACAGCATTAAGTATATGGTAAGTAAAAGTTAACTAAAAGGGGGTCAAGTAAGTCAGAAAACATTACATTAATACATTCAACAATAGCGGTGTTGGCCGTCTGATTGGGATCTGGGATGCGGGGCCTCCTTGCTGCTGCTGCGGAGCCTTGGACGACCGCTTGCCTCCACGCCGGGGGAAAGGGTAACATCTCCTGGGTCTAGGTGCCGCTTCTCCCTCCAGGGGCGAGGGAACCTGGACCTGGGGTATAGAGTTTGTTTGGGGAGTGTGATTGTGTGTACAGTGTATGTCTATCCCTACGTTGGGTGAGTGCTGAGTATTTGTATATGTGTGCATGAGGGTGGGAATGCATGTTTGTGTTTATATGTCAGGTCGGATCTTACACTCCACCTCTCTGGGTACTCCCAGGCCCTCCAAAGGCCTATCTCCCCTCACCACACTCCCTGCCGGTAACTGATGCCCTTAGGGGTCAGTGCGTTGGTGGTTCTTGGTGTCTGGGGCTGGTTGCTCAGGTATGTACCAGCTCACTCCCGGTGACTACTTGGCGGGGCCTGGTGCCTGTTGCTCGGTCAGGCCTCTTCCGGGGCAAAGGGGGCCCTCGGGCCTCCGGCCTGCGCCTTGGTTCACTCTGGCACAGCTGACGCCACTGCAGCCCCCTCTGGCTTCTGCTCCGTGGCTACTGGGTGACCCCTCATCTGGGGCTCTCCTCAGCTCTTCCCAGGAGGGTGGCACGGATGCCCCTCCGGTGGTCCTCCTTGGGCTCTCGCACTCTGGGGCCTCTGGATGTCTGGAGCCTGGATCTCCTCCATGCCTGCTTCATGCCTTGGGGGACAGGGCTATGGCTCTCTACATCCTCTAGCACACCATTACTTGGGGAAACCTTTTGAATACAAGCGCGCTGATCCACACAGGTGTGCACATGGGTGTCCACTGTTCATAGACATAAACTATACCTTTATTGGCTGCTATTTCCAAGCACAATGTGCGCTGTCGGTCCTGCTTGCTACACAACAACATTCAACATTTCGTATTTACTGCTGTTTACACTTAGCTAGATTAATGTGATGGTGTTGTGTTTAGTATGTTGCTCTGTTTGTTTTGTTGCTTGTTTTCTCTTCTTTTTCTCTCAACAGGTGATCCAGGAGATTTTTTTTCTTTTTTTCTCTTCTTTCTCTTTTTAAGTGCCCTTTCTCACTGTCCCTCTTCCCTTCTGTTTTTCTTTTCCTTCATCTTTCTTTCTCCCTTTCCTATCCCTCAGTCATGTCTGTCCCGTCTGTAACAACTGAAAATATAATAAAATAAATAATAACAACAAAGGATCAAATTCGCCAATACGGCAAGGCCATGATGATACATTTGGCAAAGTAAATCCACTGGGTATCCTTGTTGGTCTTCAGACAACAATTCTGACGGCTAAAGAACCAAATGGGACAGGCAAAAAAAAACCCCCAAAACAAAACAAAAAAAACAACACTGCTAGAAAGTATCACATGCACTTACGGGAGGCTGCATTTCGTTGCCCTGTACCTGTGCATGTGCAATGACAATAAAGTTGAATTCTATTCTATTCTATTCTATTCTATTCTATTCTATTCATTAGGTAGAGTTTATTTGTTCGCCTTAAGTTTTCAAGACTTCGATTTTACAAGGTGCTGGAAACATTTCACAGAGATTTGGGTAGGCTGTGTTAAACACATCATTTGGGGTCCAAGTCTGCCATGAAAAACAATCCACCACACCATTACACCAACCGTACTACATTGAACTGAATTATGTTGTTTTCATCCAACATATAAAACTAAACTTAACTGCAGAAACATGCAAATATAAATGTATTTATTTTCTGTCGAGAGCGAATTCATACATCATAGACTTATTACTAAGAAATCACTGACATGTTTACATGTTTAACACAGAAAGGTCCAGCTCTCTTCCTGCTCTTAAGCCTTATAAAACGCACAGAACTGCGATCTCTGCATCAAACTGTTAAATTAATTACCGTTATTATAGGAAACGAACCCACGAATTTCCTCAATACCTACAATAAAAAAGAAAAAAAAAACAATTAGAGTCCATCCATCTATTTAAACAATTAAAAATGTAAAATAACAATAAAAATATTTTAAAAATAAATATTAGATATACATATATATACATATATATATAATCTGACAAAAGTTTGTACAGCTGTTTGTACAAAAGCTGAAGTACCACAAAGGCTTCACTTCCCTCTGTGAAGCAGCAACTAGGAAGTTTTGCAGGGTACCACCACGGGATCAACAGAGGAAACCACATTGACAGACTTACTCTATTTGAGCTAGACGTCTGAGTAGCTCCGGGGTTCGACTTTGAGCTGTACAGTGTAGAAGGTATTTCTCTCTCTCTCTCTCAACAGAATGAAGCTGCTGAAATTCATCTTAATCATCCACGTGAACTTTTTTTGTCAAGGTACTGTTTACAGTTTTTTATTTATTTAATGCTTTGTTCTCACAAACAGAGTAGAACTTTTGTGAAATCAGCGTAAAATGAAATGATACTATTATCTATCCCTTGTGTTATTTAAAATATATATTAACTGGTCTCATGTACATACAGACTGTTATCTCAAATGTTACGTAAAAGACATGAAGTCAGTGCTGTTGGTAAAGTAAAACGATATAGACCCTGTTTGCTATTTTGTTGCTGTTGTTATAAAACTGTTGTTAACTTGACAGTTTATTGATAAATACTTTAGCTTATTTATGTCAGAACATGTCAGATCCTAAATTTGTCTTTGTAGAGAACCTTTCCTTGGAAAAATAGACTGAAAATAACATGATCGGTATGAAGATGAAAAGCAAATCTCGATATTTCATGTATATTTTCGTTTTTTGTACATATTTCCAATTTTTGTACCGTATTATTTAGCCTTTATTTAAACTTTCCACATGTACTTTAGTGCAACGAGCACGCCACGCTATTTTAAACCTTCAATTTAGGTGCTTGGGCAGGAAACATTAAATGGAAATCAGAACTGAAGTCTCTTAGAAAAGTAAGTGAAAAATGTGGAGGAGAGATTAGTTGTAGTTTCTTATCAAACACTTCAGTATAATTGCTCAGAAAACGGTGACACATCGTTTAGCTGTTACTCTTTGCAGTACATGTGGTTTAAAAGCATAGTTTGATTAGCTTTCCAACTAGATGCTCACTCTGTTTCTGATTCCTAAAGAGTTTTTTTCCTTTCTTGATTTCAGCTTTGAAAAATGCAACCACTGAAAACGACCCGTCTGATATCCGTGTGAGTGGAAAGGGAAATAACACAAAAATCAGCAGTAAGTGGGATCTTCCCTTTCTGTTTTCCGCATAGTTCACTTTTGTACAAAAACACCGTTATACCAGAATTTTTTGTCCAGAATCAGGATAAGCACTCTACTCAGAGGCAGTATAAACGTTTCATCAGCACAGGAAGTGGGGGTGACCTGCTTGTAAAAACCCATCTCAGTGAATTTTGCAGGTGCAAATCAAACAGTGAGCTGAGAACACACACTCCCACGCTAACTCGGCTTTGCCTTGCAAGCACAGTTTCTTGCTGTTTTGTGTCTGTGTGTGGCTTTTAGTTCAGCTGCATCCTGAAAAACACATTTTTGCCCCAAAAATACTTTAGTGCATACAATTTACATTCACAAGGATTCAAAACAAAAGTAGAAGCTGTAATGGTGCTAAAAAATACTGGAATGTCTGATGAAAAAATAGGGATTCAAAATTAATAAACATATAAACCATGTTAAAAGTAAAATGGTAAAATATATAAACAGGACTATTTTTAAGGGATTTTCGTATTGCTTGTACTGTAGACAGAACACATACACACAGGAAATGTGTGGCCAGGGACTTCCAAGATGCACCAGGGTGCATCTTGAAACAAGGGTCTCTGGTGGCCAGAAATACAGCATGTTAGCATAGCTAAAGGTTGTGAGGTTAATCTCAGCACTTTGATAGTTGGTGTGCGGCGCCAACGTGTAAAGATTGCAAAGACGTATGCACAACCACAATCCTGCGCAGAGATAAAAGGAGGAACACGCTTGAGTTCTTTTCTCAAGGGAAATGTGGCACTTAAATCTACAATTAAAAAAATTGACAGCTAAAGAAAAATAGCCCCAGTGGAAGCATTCTCTGTAAAGTCATAGTGTAAAACTGGCAAAGTCGATCAGATATTGTGAAGGTTGTTAAAAATGTTTGTCAGAAAGGACACATTTAGATGAAGACCATACGAGATGTCACATTTCAAAAAGACAAAAAGTAAAAGCCAGATGTTAGTTTTAAAGAGGTGCGAGATTCAGTTTAGTGGCTTTTAATGTTGTCGAAATGATCGCGTTCATGTGTCAACCACACCAACGTGTCCCAGAAAAAACCTCAGTTCTTGCTCAAGTAACCACTCGATTAGTGAGTGGTTAGATGTGTCTGTTGTGATGTTATAAGTAACATGTTATATCATGGTCACTTTAGCTAGGACAAAGAGCACTAAAAACAGCAAAGCCAAAAAATGTGGAAAAATAACTAATATAGAGTTTTTGTTTTGATATTTTAGAAGGTCTTTTCCTTTGGTCTCATACTTTGCCATAAACTGAAGTAATGTTGTTTTATTTATTTATTTTTTAAACAGATTCTGTGGCAGGTTAAATGTACTGTAGACTGAATTGGACCTGTTGTCCCTCTTGCTATTTTCTGTTATATGTATGCTGTTAATGGTGGATAGTCATATTAAACAGGGTTTTGAATAATGAGGTCAGCAGGTTTACATGCGAGACAAGGCCAGGTCTTCTATGTGATGTCAGAGAGAACAAATAGTCTTAATATGATCACTTAGATACATCAGCCTCTCTCACTCCCTGTTCCAACATTTTATTACTGATGGTAGAGCCAATAAGAAGAACTTGGCTTGAAGCTAAAACAGCTTGTTTCAGATGTGGAGATCTGAGATCTTTGTCCCTTTTCATCTGTGTTAACTCAAATTAAATAATTGTCAGACACAGACAACCTGAAGAAAAAATGTGTTTTTTTGCAGTGTGCTATCATGGTTGTTTTAATGAAATTACAAAAAAACTGCTCTAATTCTTATTTCTGTGTGTCCTCAGATGACCCTTACGTCTACTCTCTTGGGAGAAAATGCAAGTGGACACTCCGGTTGCCTAGGAACAGGAGCAGTGACATAATGGCGCTCACAAATGACTCTGTGAATGGGTTGTCTGAACAGATCTGTCAGGATCTTAAATGCGGCAGCGTCCTTTCTATTAATAAAACCAGCTCACCAGGGAACATCACCTGCTTTCAAAACTGTTCATACCAACACGGACGTTTGGAGAACTGTTCACTGAGTGTTGGAAGTTCCTGCAGTGTGATCCATGAAGTGGTTTGTGGTAAGACTTTTCTTTAATGTCAGCAATCAGAAAAATCTAATCAGTTATATAAATGGTAATATATATAGACGCTGTATTAGTTTACATGAAATTTCCGGTTCAGTCTTCATTGACTCAACCTTCACAGTTGTAAAGCATCAATCAGCGAATATTAAATAGTTCTGCATTCAAGATGGATGTAGCCAATCAGGATGCTAACATAGTCACACAGATTTCACACACCATCTGGACTTTCGTTTCATCTGACAGCGAACGGAGTGTTCAGACTAAAACTTATGTAACTAAATATCAAGGAAACTAGATACAGTTGAGGTCAGATGTTTGTTACCATGGACACCTCAAATAGGTGCCTTTGTAGCCATTAGCAAGCCTCTGGTATAACTGTGGCTGGATATTTGACCACTCTTCTCGGCAGAAATGGCAGAGTTAATTTAAATTGGTTGGTTTTCTGGGCATACTTTCAAACATAGTCCATAATTTTTAAAAGGGTTGAGGTCAGGGCTTTTGCAAGGCTGCTGGAGAAGCCTCGTGTTAGCCTGCTTAATCTATTTAAAAAACCAGTTGTGTGTTTAGGATTATCTACAAATTTAATCCTGAACCTGAACTAATTAGCCTCTGAGGGTAAGAGTTTGGTTCTTCTTCCAGATCGTGGCAAAACGGTGACATAAACAAATAACTTGAACAGACCTACAATTGTTTGAACTGATGATCTTGGAATCTGCAGTTTTTGTGTGGATTAAAGAAAATCCAAAATAAACTCAAACTTGTTTTTTAAAGTCATAAAGAACAGTTCAAAATAATCATTAAAAGACTCAAATTACCATAAAATTCATATTCATGATGGATGCATGTGAGAGTCTGACCACAACTGTGTATATTAGACTATCACAGTAACTATAAGAAGAAAACTGGATTTTTTTTTGGGTTGATTTCACGTGGAGGCACATGTTTCTTCTGAGCATGAGGAGACAAACGGAGCTCTCCAGTCATTTCTTCTACTTTTCTTCTACTTACTGAAATATTATCTTGTTATGCCACTGAATAAATACTAACTAATACAAACACTGAGACACAGTTATTATTATTATTAGCAACAAATATTGCTATGTAGACAATGCGGTCTACATAGCAAGAAGCTTGCTAACTGGAATTGCATAGAAGTGTACTGTGTTACTGCAAGGCTGGATTTGCAGTAGGAGGATTAAAGATATTTTGCTGTTAAATATTTCAGACAAACAGGACTTTTGGCATTTGTTGAGGAATTTGCTCTTGCTGCTGTGAGATATCTGTTTGGTTGTTTTTGAGATAACATCAAGAATTCTGAGCATCATGTCAGATATAAATCTGAGCGTTTAGAAAGAACTGAACTTCTTTGTCATAACTCTGACTTTGATGTTGAACACTACCGACGAACAAAACTGTCATTCTCGGAAAAATATTTACATTCATGATTTCTGGGGGCACCATGACCTGTCCCTGGGGCAGTAACCTGCCATTGTACCCTTACAGATCTGTGGGAGGAAACTAGAGCACCTGAAGAAAAACAAAGATTAGACGAGGTTTGAAACCAGAAGGTTTTTTTCTCACACGCCAAATTTCCAAAACCGACATAGAACGAAACTCCTCGGAACGTATGAAATGCTCTTCATTTAACCTAAACACATAAACAGGAAAACCTCAAAACCTAAAAATGGAAGGAATATTTTATCAATTTTTTATCAATATTTTTTTTAAAAGAAAGGGACTTGTCATGTATTTTAATATAACACACACACACACACACAAACACACACACACACACACACACACACACACACACACACACACACACAAACACACACACACACACACACACACACACAAACACATTTTATGTTTATGGACCATCAATTCAAAAACAGGCGATGAACAGTCTGAGATATCTTAAAAATAACTGAGGACTATTGTTGTGTTTATCTGAATTTGAGGAGTGTGACCGCATGTCATACATGCCCTTTCCTGTCTATAAATGACTTCCTGCCCTATGCGCTGGTTTATTCTCACCTCCTCCTGTCTGCACCGGGGTCGGGAAGCCATCACTAATTCTCACTGAAACCTTTCCCAATATGCAGCAGCAGGCCTAAGTTTTTATCTGCTCCGTCCGTCATCGTCTTTAAGCAAACACTGGTTAATCATGTTTGAGGTGTGGAAGCTGGTAGGGATTCATTATGTGTTAATATTACAGATCACAGTGGCTCTACCAAAGTAGTAAACCTTTACATGTAGAGTTTTTGGAACTGAGCAACTACAATATTTTACTTTGATAATTTATAACATATAGCTGAGATCTAGAAATATATTTTAACTCTCAGTCTCCATCTAACTTGGAACAGCAAGGCGTTTTATTGAAAAACAAAAAAATAAAAAATGGTTTTAGCAAACATGAAGTGACCCGTTGCTTAGTGAAATCCTGCTATGAAGCCTCAAGTATCATGTTTTCAGACTGAATGTGATGAGCGACCTCACTGTGAAATCTCTACACCCTGGTTATTCCTCCCTTCTAATTATAAGTTAAAAAATGACTCCAACACAAAACAAGTCATTGAGCCTGTAAAGCAATCTGAAAAGGGTTAACTGAGGTCACAGAGGAAGGCAACCCGGAGATATGCCCCCTGCTGGATGTTAAAAATAATGCAGGTTTAACACACTTCCAGGATGTCTTTCAGTCCCTTAGACTGTCTATAACTGAATCAAAAGGACAGAAATTGATCCTTATCATACCGCTGTTCCTGACCCACAGTCACTCAGTGGGTTTAACTAATTAACCTCATGTTAATTGGTTAAGTGATTGCCTGCTTGTTTATTATCCAAATTTAAAGAAGCAAAAATATGCAACCTTGGGTGTTTCCCTGACAGTGACTCTGAATTAGCCTCAGGCAGAAATAACTGAGCACTAACCTTTAGATGTAAGGATTTAAGAAACAAAAAAATCATAAAGAGCTGTGATTTTTAAGCAATGAGAATTCATAGTGGAAGAGATTCTAAGTATTTGATTGGTGACTGTCAGATCTGACTGTAATAATTTCAGTTAACACTATCAGGTCACAAGATTTACATCTTGATCACCAGACTGTGCTGTTAGGTTAATTATTTGCACGAGTATTAATGATGAGAGCACAATAATAATGACAGGGTGTCATCCTCAGCACACCAGCTTGTGCGACTGGCAGGAGGGACACACCGCTGTGGTGGGCGAGTGGAAGTATGGAAAAATGAGCAGTGGGGCACCGTGTGTGACGACCACTGGGACCTGAATGATGCTCATGTGGTGTGCGCCCAGCTCGGCTGCGGTTACGCCCTCAATGTGACGGGCCAGGCCGGCTTATTTCCCCCGGGGAAAGGACCCATCTACCTGGACGATCTGAACTGTACGGGCAACGAGGAGAACCTGTGGAGCTGCCCGGCTACACGGGAGGAGGATCAAGACTGTGGACACAAAGAGGACGCTGGTGTCGTGTGTTCAGGTCTAGTTCAAAAAAGTTTATTTATACATGCAGAAATCAGAAAATGTACTCTGAAAATTGAATGTTATTAACAAAACAACTCTGAATGTGAACATTTATTCTTGGAGCTTAACTTGCTTTCTGCACTGGTTAAAAAAACATCTTAAAGATTTTCGTTGTTTCTTCTAAAAGTTACATATAACTAAACTTCAAATTTATGTTTCCATGAAATGTGATCTTCACTACTAAAAAAATGATCAGCAAAAATACAGAAATATTGAATGAGTGATGTGTAGCAAACAAACATAACTCAGGAGAAACATCTCTGTTCATGCATTTTTGAGAATGAGGTTAATTATGTATGTCATATGTAAAAAAAAAAAAATCAAAGTCATTATCCTTAGCGCTGGTTTATCACCAGCTGATTTACTTGCATTATTTTTTGGGGGATGTTTTATGCCATTTTGCTCCAGTAGTTTTCTTCTTGTGACATCTGTGTCTCTGCAGAAATGCGAGGCCTCAGACTGACTGGAGGTATGGACCGCTGCTCTGGTAAACTGGAGGTGCATCGTAACGGCAGCTGGTGGATCGTGTGTAATAACTGCTGGAATGAGAAGATGGCTTCCATTGTGTGCTCCATGCTGGGCTGTGGTGATAAGGTGGAAAAGTACACCCAGTTTAATCCTCCTCTCACCCACAACAACGGCACGCTGTTTTACTATAAATGCGATCAGAATAAGAGTCTGTGGGAGTGCAAGGAATACATAAATCATCGGTTCCTGTGTAAAGACTCAAAAGCTTCTGGTGTCATTTGTGAAGGTAAGGGACACAGTTTGGTGTTTTTATTTGTTATATACTTGTTAAACAAACAACACTCAAACAAAACAGGAGGAATCAATGAGTGCGAATTTTATTAATTTATTTATTCATTAGCAACTCTTTGAAAAGGGCTTCTTTGCACATATTAAAGGGATCAGATATTCAGGATAAAAACAAACATCTGGATTAAATGTTTAATACATTTTAAGGTGGAATTTTGTTAAGACACTCAAATTTTTTAAAAATACATTTCCCCACCCCACCTGGTTGCAGCAGATGGCTGCCGCCTTTTGAGCCTGGTTCTGTCAGAAGTTTCCTTCCCACTGTCGGGAAAGAAACTTCAGGGGTGGTTGTCAGAATTTTCTCTGTTGGGTCTTTATCAAACAATATAATGCGCTTTGACCTGACAGTTGCTATGATTTGGTGCTATATAAATAAAATTGAATTGAAATTTTATTGTAATTAACCAACGTATTTCTGTCTGTGACTTATAATTACGTGTTTGAAATGCCTTTATTCGTGTGCCTACACATTTATTTATTCATTTAACAGTTGTTGATTGGAGTGAGTCGTCCTCTGAGGAGTTTCTGTTCAATAGTTACGGAATCACATAAAATGTAGTCGTAGCATAAATAAAATTCACATCCAGGTGAAACCAGGTGATCACGTCGTCCTCAGATTTCTCCGTTTTGTTGAACAGATTCTATTTTTGTTCTGCAGGTTCTCTGGGGTTTCCTAACGCTACCACGGTTAATCCAACTGTAACACCTCAATGGACAACTGGTAAATATTTACAGTTTTATTTTATGAAAAAGTACTTAAATTACTCTTTGAAGTATTATTCTCAGTACCAGTTTCTTAAACGTCGCAGTTAGTCTTGATCCATAATCAGAAAGTGAAGTATTTGTTTCTTCTCTGTGCATCCAGCCAATGGAACCACAGCCGCTGTTGCTGCTGCAGATTTGCCTTTTGCGTCTCTGCCGCTTCTCTCCACCATCTCTCTGTCCATCCTGCTCCTCGTGATTGTCATCACAAACACGGTGCTCTGCTGCCATTACAGGAGAAAACACGGTTTGTTCAGATTTTATTAGATAAATAGATTATATTTTATTGTCCTTTTTTTTATTTTAAGTAATTTTAGTGATTATTTTAGGTTATATTGTCTGTAATGATGGAAATACTAACATTCAGTTTATTTTGACAGTTTTCATTAAAAATCTCTTCCATCAGTTTTTAAAAATATGCTTATTTTCCCAAACGAATCATATTACTTTATAGAAATGTTTTTATTTTCCTAGGTAGATGTTTAACATTTTATATTTCACTTTATGAAATCAATAAGGGTGAAACATGCTGCCCAGCTCCTATTTATTCTAACAGTGTAATGTTTTTTTTAGTTAGAATCTGTTTTAGTACAGACAGGAAACAGGTGGATATAAACAGATAGAAGATGACGCATTTTACCGCCAAAAAATAACCTTAATTTAAAATTAAACCCCCATAATAAGATACGTTCAAAAAAACAACAACATCTAGAATATTTTCATGACACCCAGCTTGTCCACAACATTTAGGAAGTAATGGGAGAGGTCAAATTCCTAAAAGAGGTACAAATTAATTTAGTGTACTAGATTGTGAAAGAGCTGCAGGCTTACCTTGACTTTGAAAGAAATTATTCTGAAGTTAGTAGGATGAAGAAAGCACACATTTAAAAATACGTTTTACCCAGCTTCTTCCTAACATGAGGAGATGACATTAGTAGAACACTAAGAAGGTAGCATATATTATTTTGGATTTCATTATCAACATTTCTAACCATTTTCTACTGCAAATTCAAGGCACTTTAAAGCCATACACTCACTGTAAATCGCTCAAAAAGTAAGGCCTTAAGATAAGAAACATTCATGGGCTTCCTGGAATCTGAAATTTTTATAATTTTAAGATGCTGCGTTATAAAAGTGCAGAATACAGAAATTAGTACTCTGACATTATACAGCAAAATGTTAAAGAAAATCTAAATATTTCAATACATTAAAGTTTGAACTATTTAATCTGTTTTATTAAGTTGCGCTGCGGGGCCTCTAAATGTCATACGCTAATGACCCACGTCTTGTTTTACATGTGCACAGCTTTCTTACTCCAGCAGACGCGCAGCAGCCCACGAGCTCCATCTGGTCAAAGCAACAACTATCACGAGGCTGTTAATCTCATCAAAGTCACCGCCAACCCGGCGGAGACTGATGGTCAGTGGTCGAACAATTCAACATGTCGAACACTAACACAGCTTTTTTCTTTCTTTAACCCCGCAGGCATATCTATCTATCGATTTATCTATTTAATAGACATGCACGGTAGTGAGGAAGTTGCAGATTTCATCTCATCAAATCGTTTAATCTATTTTGTGTGTTTGTCTCAAAAAGTCCCCTCCAATCCCAGGCTTCTTTGGACCCAGCTTAGTAGTGCTGACAGCACGTCAGTAGATACAGACTATGAGCAGTATGACCCAAGCATTGACCCGTCTGTCAGTTTATCCACCTTTCGGAGTGAGCCACGTTCTTTTATTTTTCCTCTGCATTTATGTGTCGTTTCTCAGCCGTTGCTTCTTTGTCTCACACTGTTTCTGCATTTTGCGGTTGAAGCTGCTCTGTCTATCTGCATGTTTGTGTGTGTGTGTGTGTGTGTGTGTGTGTGTGTGTGTGAGCAGATCATGCTGTTTTGCACTGAATGTTTGCAGGATGCTCTGTAAAATATTGCATTGTGTGCATCGTGTCACTTTTTTTAAAATCCAGATTCTCAGCGATACAGAACAGACGTTAATCCTTTGATGAGGCCTTCAGGTCTTGAGAGCCTTTGTGAAGAAGGTGAGTCACAGTTCGTTTGCAAAGTTGTAACACTTTGCAAAACTCAAGCAAAATGCATCATTCCCATTAGAAACTACTGCTGTGACAACAATCTGTAAATGGAAGAGGAACACTGACTTTCACTTTTAACCAAAAACAAGACAGAAAACATAAAGAACAAACAATAGGTACAAAATAATCATCATCATGATAAATCTTTATTTCAGACTCATGGTCTATAAAAAATCAAATCACATAAAACACAAGAAACAAAATAAAAAGATAAAATACACATTCCCACAAATCAGATTCCCACATGACAGTTATACAAGTGTCCTGAAAACTTAAAGGTCCACAACGATGCAATTATCCAAAGAAATCTATACACAAGATTTCTTTCTAAAAATTGACCTGTATTGACATTAGAGGTTACAAACATCACATTTACCCTGAGACAACCTGGTTTCTTCAGTGATAACCTTGTAGGGTCATTAAAAGTTACGTGAAGTTTCTGCTCTTCTGTAGTTCATCCAGTGTGCCGTATACAGCGGATGAACAGTGTACCCTAAAGATGCAAACTGTACAGTCATGCGTAACAGGATGTTTGCTTGTGCATAGATCAGCGTGCATTATCTATAAATGTCATCACCATCATTTGTTCTGTCATAAGTTGCGCAAGATATTTGACCTAATTTCAGAGGAGGTTATTATTTCACAGTTTAAAGTGAGCAAATCATAACAGAACGAGGTCATCCACATATAACTCTGTTAGGACTAAATTAAATATCTTGTTTCTAAATGGATGTAAATGCAGGACATCTTTTTTTATGTGTCCCTTAGAAAACCCTCCAATAAGAAATCACACGTACAGACAGTTCTTGTTTGTGTCCCAGCTGTGCTACTTCTAATTTCTCCATTTTGTGTTTTATTTTTAAGGTCCGCAGCCCTCAAATACAATGACAGGAGCCTTTCCAAGCTGTAACGGTGCCTCGACATATCCTCAGTACGCCAGAGTGTCAAAGATCTCAGTGGACTCATTTGAGTCGTCCAGCACCTCCTCCGGGGAATGCTATGAAAACTTGCCAAAAGATTACGTCAATGTGACGCCTGGTGAGTTCGCTTCACTCCCCTCAGTCCTTTTTTCTGCCAAATAAATATTGTGGAATATGCTTGTTTGTTTCCTTGTTGGGTGCTGGATGAGGATGAACGTGGTCATGCCTGTAGGTCAGCTTATTTTCTAAACTTTGGTCTTTCCGTCTTCCAGATAGACTCCATGTTTTTTTTTTAATTCAGTTTTTGAGATACTTAGGGAAAGTGTTGTAGTTTACATGTTATAAAAATAAAAAAAGTCCTGGGATTATTCTAGCTTTAAAAAAAATAAAAAAAATATTGTTGTGTGATATAAAATTCAAGAAAGAAGAAGAAAGGCTGATAGTCACGTTTCAGTTTGTCGAGGGTAAATAAATAAAAGATGTAAGTCCATCTCAGACTGTCTGAAATACTTTTTTATTCAATTAAAACTGAAAAGCTTTTGCCGTTTCAGATCCTCTACCATTGGAGTCGTTTGTTGGTCCTTCTGATGCTTCAAAATTCTCATATGGTCCTCTTCACTCTGGACAAACCTCAAACATGCAGAATTCAGGTAAATCTCAATAAACAGACGTGCAGCTGTGGAGGAATAAAATGTAAAACATTTACTAATCTCTCTGAATGTTTGATGATCAGATGATGACGAACTCTACTCGCCTGTGAGCCCCGACTGAAACTTTGTGTCTGAGGATGACTGCACAGCAAACCGAGGGTGTGGGAAAGTGTGAGAAGAAGAAGTCGTTTTCGTAAAGGAAAGACATCCTGTAAGATCAAGAAAATGTAAGACGCTTACAGCGATCAATGCTGGGATGTTCAATGTGATTGATTAGCTTTTTAAAGCAAGTTTTATTTTTGTACACAAATGCAAAGCAAAGGCTGGAAGTCTGGAAGGCACAAAATGAACATGTGTTCTGTGAATGTAGCAGAAGGAACTGTAATATAGAAACAGATGACAAATTAAAAAAGGAAACCCAAACTTCTCTAATGCTGTTGGGGGGGTTTTGCTGCCAGTATTTAAATCCTTTTTTGCTCTTACACCGAAATGCCACGGCACACTTATCCTACAGTTAACCATATCCATACCAGTTGTAATGGTCTCTCCCTGTGACCTATGAGCATGATCTCATCCCTGTTGAACTCCTATGGCAGATGATGGTTTGACATGTTAGACATTGCCTTTAAAATAATTAAAAAGCCATATTAGATAAAAAATAAAATAAAAATAAAGCCCTCCTACAGCAGCACAACACCACACTGAGACACTTTACTCTGGGTTTTCTTTGAAATTGTCACCTGTCTGTGTCTGTTTTGTGTTGTTTATTAAAAGATTTGTAATATTACAATGTATTAAGTTAATACATGTTTGGCGCATTTATTTCTTTGGATGTAGACACGAAAATCTTCTGAGCACCAGCATAATTTCAACAACTGTTATGAGCACAACATAGCCAAAAATATGTGGACATCCAAACATTACCTAAATAATACGCTTGTAAAAAACCACAAACCTTAATGTCTGTGAAGGTTCTCAGTCATTCAGTTCATCGTAGTCTAAGGAGCTTGGAAAGAAAAGCGTCTGGACTTGAAGAAGCTTCTCGGATGAGAGGTGAAACGTCTTCAAGCAACTTAAAGAAGTCCAGACGCTTTTCTTTCCAAGCTCCTTAGACCACAGACCTTAATGTGGACCTATCATGGGTTTCCTTATTTTGTGCTATATACACTGATACAAGGAGGATATTAAATATAGTTAAATACTCTATGCACAAGTGAGCCTTTAGAACAAAATGCTTATTTTCAGTTTTTCCTCTTCTTGGATCTGCACAATGTCAGTGACAATGGATATTACTGATATGGTCAATTCAGGCGAACAGGTCCAGCAGTTTGACGCTTCTGTTTGCTGGAGGCAGCCAATCAGAAGAAGTATGGCAGCTTGTTTCAACCAAAGCAATCTCAGTAGGTTAGCCACTAAAGCTGGGCCATAAAGCAAGGAAATAATATTTATGTGGCACTAATTCTGTTTATCCCGGTGTGTGAGGGTTAGGGGTTACAGCTAGATAAGCTATTCCACATCTAACTGAAAACATGAATCACTCTGAAACAGGAAAAAGCTTAACTGAACTCCCACAAAGCTGCAGAACAATTTCGTACATTAAAGGGTCACAAGCTTTTGTCTGTCCACATACTTTTGGCTACTCACGTGCTATTGTTTGCCACTCATCTTCTATGTAAACAGTGTATTCAATATTAAGATCAACCACAAGGTGGCACTACAGGCTTGTAAGTAACTTGTTTAATTAATGTCTTGTCCTGTAAATTACTTAAAAAACGTATTAAAGTATAAAATGTTTTCTAAATCAAAAACGTCCAGGCTGCTGCTCTTTGTGACAAAAACCTGACAAACATCTATTGGTGCTCTTTGAGGGAGATAGGGGGAACTCTGGCTCCTGATGGGGCCAACGTAAACTATCAGCGTGATTTGAAACCAGACCTGGAAGGCTTGTTTTTTGGGGGTTGTGGTTGATTATAGCTGCTGCAGCTGCAGAGCATCAACGCTTCCTGTGATGCCCTGAATCAAAGTTATGTCTTGTTTTGAAGAACGTTAATATGACAAACTGCCTCACAGCACAGTAAAGTTTTAATAGGGGGGTGACGGTGTTGAATACAGGGATAAACATGGATCGGCTAACGTGAGAAGTGGGAGGTGTGATGCATTCGACTGATAACAGCAGAAATGGGGTGTTTTTCAACTGGAAGGTATTTGGCAAATAGGAGGAGGGCGAGCTTGTGTGTGTGTGCGTGTGTGTATTAGGGTGTGGGAAGGAGGGATGATGAGGAGAAAAGGAGGAGGTGGACGGAGAAGTCGGCAAAGATAAAAAGTGTCTGGAAGAATCATATATTGCACTCAAATTTAGTCCAGAGCCTCGCGTGGAGATAAGCAGGCGAATTAACGACCAGATCTCCTTATGAAACTCAATCTGTTTCACATGCCAGAGAATTGAGCGCACACACCAACCCACACACCACTCAACACGGATTCCATGTAAAACTATGCAGCCTGATATATCACAGATCCTCCTTAAGCGCTTTGCTTTTGTTTTATTCAGCTCTGAAAGATTGATAAGCCAGAATCTGAAAATCTGAGGATTTACAGTCCTGATTAACATCAAGGGAAAGAAAAGTAGTTCACTAGTATTTCAAGTAGCTTGTAGCATTTGCAGGGATTACAAGATCAACCCTCTGTTTTTACTTTGTTCATTAAATCAGTTACACACAAAGGATTACGGCTCCATACGTCTCTAAGTTGCTTAAAGTGTCCCGACTGCAGATCCTGCCCGAGTTTAAACTTTTGAACTCTGGTTGGTGCTGCAGGCCTGCAGACGACCTGAGACAGTACCTGGCTGCAAACGATATCGAGAGCATGCATGAAATTACCGCTGCAGCTTGTGTTTGAGGTGGTTTTGAATGTTTGTTGTCCTCCAGGAAAATTTTATATGAAGATTAGAAGAATAAAAAAAGCCTGGCTCAGGAGATTTTAGGGGCTTTTAAATGGGGAAATGACACTTAAAGCTATTAGCAATCCTATTAATATTTATTAAAGTAGTTTTTCAGATTAGCCGTGGCTTTCAGTCATAGAGTGCTAAAGGAGTGAATCCTAAGACCCAGAAATTAGCACTTTGTACTTCCAGTTTCAGTTAGTTTAATGTTTTTAAATGAGTTTTTGGTTAGATGCTTCAAATAAGTACTGTACTTAAAAATAGCTTTAGTCATACATTCTGTAGCATAAAATATGTAAGTAAATACCTCACACACAAATTATGCAGCTGTATGTGTCACAGGTAAGTACTCTGGTAGAAAGTGGCTAAATGTAACTTTCAGTATCATCACAGCGAACTCAGAAGCCTGTTAGTGAAGCTGCTAAAGTCTTGCAGTGATGTCCTTTGTTTACAGGACAGCCAGGGTTCTCAAAGTGGGGCCTGCGGGCCAGCGGTAGCCCCTGGTAACATTTTACCTCCCTTCAGTGTGTTGAGGTATGTTATGTTCTGGCACAGCAGTGGAGAACGAGACTACGGGACTAAACTTTCCCAGTTTGAACAAAAACAGCTGTTTTTCTTCACTACCACTTTAAAGACTATAAACCACAAAAATGATAACGACAAACCACCAACATCAAGTAAAGAGTCTATTTGCACCAGCCAGAAGTTTTTCTACATGATGGATTTTTCTCCTTTGAGGCCCCTCAAAGTCATGTTGACCCCTTAAATTGGCACTCAAGCCATTAACACTTTGAACCCAGGGGAGCTCTGTCTCCATGTGTCAGCTCAGTCATGGGAGGTCATCTGAAAGGATGAAACATGATTTTCAGAAGCAGTATGAGTAAACTACATGTGGTTTACTACATATTATTATTAGTGTTTTTTTTAATCGCTTATTTTGAATTTGATGGTACCGACACTTCTCGAAGCTGGAAAAGTTAGTGACACTAAAAACAAACAGCTGGAGAGACAATTTTCAGCTGGGTTAATCAGCAGGAGGTCAGTAACAGGAGTGGGTAACCATGTCAACAATTCTAGAATAATGTTCCTCAACAAACAAATTCTGAAGTCTTTGAATTCCTCGTCATTTACAGTGTATAATGTCAAAAGATTCAGGGAATCTGGAGAAATTTTCAGGTAGAAGGTTGAATGTCCGTGTACGAGCTGTCAAATGGCACTGCATTAAAAACCAGTGACGATTCTGTCATGGAAATCACAACATGGGCTCAGGAGCACTTGAAGAAATCATTGTCTGTTTGACAGTGTGGGGCGTGTAAGGAATAAGCTAGCCGCCCAAACAACCAAGAAAGCAGTACAACCTTACCCCGCCGCTCACCCAAACCTTAGATTTTGAATAATTTCATATCAAATGGGCAGTACCTCTAACTCTATAGAGCTCATCTTCTCTTAACTTCATATGTTATATTTAACGGTGGTCAGTCTTATGAGCTTTAATTTTAGCAGACAGCTGTTTTCAGGAAAAACTTCTGAAACTAATTTAATGAAAAGCTGATGAATAAAGTGGAGCATCCAGCTGACGGGTTATCAAGGTTGGCCTGTGGACCAGTGGTGGCCCCTTTTGTTTTTGCCTGCAAGCATTACCAATAAACAGCAAGGATCCACGGTTCATGTCACAGCATGTATATATAACAGTAGAGTTTACCTCTTAAATCTCAGCTGTTCTGCTTTAGCCGTCACAGCTTTCTCAAACTTCATAACACTAACCCAACACCCTAAAAAAGTCAAGAAATATGACCTCAACACTGGGTGAAAAAAATAGATACCAGTACAAAAATGACAATGTCCAGCCACAGACACAATATAAACAGTGAGACGGAGCAGCTTGTATTTTTGTTTTCTCCCTGGACTCTAAAAGCAACGCATTCACGAATAACTGAAGGGTCACTATTTTCAATCTCTGGAACATTCCTCGGCACCATTTCATGTTCCACTGGAACAATAATAAAAACACGAACTCTAACACGTCAGGCAGTGTCTTACTTCACTGTGACCTTGTGGATTTTGTTCTTGCCTTGGCCTTTGTGTTGGCACTGCTCTTTGTTTGCCAGGGATATGTTGCAGGATGGACTGCAGCCAGTGAAATGCAGTGAGGTCATTCGTTTAGATAGAGCCCCAGATGGTTAGAGACCTGGGCTAAAAATCCACTTCAGCTCATTAATCAAAGCCTGTTTTTCCTTTGGCCGAGCAATGGGAGAGAATTATACTTAAGCCATTAAATTCACCAATATTCCCCTCTCTTGATTAGTGCCCCTCACAGCGAATGAAGCCTTTAGTAAACGGCATTACAGCCTGCTGGGCTGAAGCTTGGGTGCGCTGGAGAGGCCGGGTAATAGTGTTGATTACTCGTCACTCATTAGGTTGCTTTCACTGCCGCCGCTAAGCCCTCATCAGGAGGTTTTTGGCTGAGAAGCTGAGCAGGAGCCCTGATCCAATTCACCTTTAAAGTTCAGTGGAGCTGTCTGGGTTGCCACGGGTCAGTGCATCGCTCTCCATGGTGTGCACTCTCAGAGAGAGGCCCTCATTACCTCATTTCCTGTTACCACTGTACCAGGCAAACATCTGAGTGTCCTGCTTCGGTTGTGTAAAGTTTGTTTGTGACTGAGGGTCTATTAAAAGTTTAAATAAAAAAACTTGTTGAATTTATGACTTTGTTGAAGGACAAATGTGAGAATCAGACTGCGTGTGTCTGTGGTGGCCCTGTGGTGCAAGAGAGTGCATTTCAAACTGGAAAAAAACCTTCATAACTGGGGTTTATTAAAAAGATTTTATGTATTTTTGTTGATGAGTGGCAAACAATGGCACACGAGTAACCAGATGTTTGTCATAATTATATTTCACATGCAAGAGAACTCAGAAATCCTTCACACATACAAAGTCATGAAGTTTTCAGGGCCCATCATAACTTAAAGACCTCACAGTACCATATTACCTTTACAGAGCTCTTTGCTCTCACATTGCAGGCATACTTATGGTTCCTAAATTTTCTAAAAGTAAAATGGGAAGAACCTTAGGCTATTGTGCGCCTCTCCTGTGGAACCAGCACCCAGTTTGGGGTCAGGAGACAAACATCCTCTCTGGTTTTAAGATTAGACTTAAAAGTCTCCTTTTTGGTGAAGCACATAGTTAGGACTAGGTCAGGTGGTCCTGAACTGTCCTGTAGTTATGCTGGAATGGGTTCAGGCTGCTGGCGGACTTCCCATGATGCAATGAGCATTTCTTCCCCACTCACCTCTTTTCATAATAATAATAAATCCATCATCTCCTTCCACTTACCCAGTTTAGGGTCACATGGGGCTCATAAGGCATGAGGAAAGCTACATCCTGGAGAGAGACAGAAAATCACTCAGATTCACACAGTCTATTCACAATAATCAATTAACCTCACCCCATGCATGTCATTGGAGTAAGGGAGGAAGCGTCAAAGTAACCGGAGAGGATCCACACAGATATGAGGAGAACACAAAGAAAGACCCTAAGCAGGATTCAAACTCAGGACCTTCTTGGTGTGAGAGAACAGTGATAATACTACTAATAATACTTCTACTACTACTACTACTACTACTAATAATAATACAAAACCAGTACAGCAGAATAAAACTGCTGCTCCATGAATCTGGCACTGTTGGAGGTTTCTTCCTGTTAAAAAGGAGCTCTTTCTCTCCACTGTCACCAAGTGTTGCTCATAGGGGATCGTCTGAACATTGTTTTTTTTTCTTTGATACCTTTACCTTAATATAATGTGTTGTTAAAATTAAATTGAACTAAATTGTTAATATAAAACTAAACAAATCCTGTAAAGTACCCAACAGCGTCGTCAGACATCAGCAATAAGCTAATGAAACTGGTCAGCTAATGTTTTTAAAACAGAACAGCTGAAGTCCTGAATTCCATTTTCTGAAACTGTCACTTCATCATAACAAACTATTTTATTTTGATTCTCAAAATGCAAACTACTCAGCAACCAGCTCAGGAACGTCTCAAAGAACAAATACAACGTGTGGATACATTTTCATGGACAAAGGTGAGAGTCACTGTGACCTCATGACTCATATTTTGTCCATAACTCAATAATCAATGAGGTAATTATGACAGGATTTTACAGAAACACCCAATGGCATAAAAAAAACGACAAAGTTTTATATCCAGAAGGTCAAAGGTCAAGTCTGGACACATATGGATGTAGATACGCTTGTGTGGAGGTACACAGTTACTATGTAGTAAATCGCGTCTTTACTTAAGATAGTTTAATTAAAATGGCCCTTTTAGTGGATGTTTGGGAACATACGGGGTACTCTAAGGGAATTACTGCTGTGGCCCTTTGTGAGCACACCCACTTAGGGCCCTTGTGGGTTTGCCTTGCCTATACAGCCCCACAGTTCACCTGCAGCTACCCACTGTGGACCCGCCCATGCGTGTTTGCTAGGAAAGCTGTGATGAAACTGATTTTACATGGAAGCAGACCCACAACATCTGCAGTGAAACTGATGCTGTTTAATAATCGTGCAAATCTTTAAAGCCTTGATTAGACTCTGCAGCGGACACGAACACGGACATCTAGAGACATGGCAGCCGATTAGTCATTCCTCTTATATCTCTTTGAAGACCGCCGCCTGGGGCGCAAGTGTAGTGGACAAAGCCACGCAATCACATAAAACAGGCAGGCCTGCGGACTTTCACATGGACCCTCATGCTCACTGTGTCATGATGAAATTTATGCCACTCAGACCCCAGAAGACCTCAACAGACTTGCAGATGTGGAAAATACACTCAAAGACTTCATCTCACAAAGATATCACAACATATTCATCTCTTTGAGATCTAACCCTCATGAGAGAAAGGAAAAAAAAAAGATTATTTAGGAAAAAAAAGGTAGGTTTGGTGTGTTACAGATAATTATGATTATTATTGCCCCCTGATTGATTATATATTTTGCACTTTAATGGCGTGTTCAAACGCAAACACTCAAATTCAAAGTCTATGCAATGAGGAGAATCGATGTGCTGGGTGGCACGAATAGAGGAAAAATTAGAGTAAGTTAAAATATTTCATTTGAGTGAAAAAAATGACTTAATAAGGCATTGAAATCCCTCTGGGACAGCTGGGAGTCCAACCACAATAAACCATGGAAAATCCTGTTTTTGAACAGCTAAATCGTTCAATTTCGTTCTTAATTAAAGACAGGGAAACGTCAGTGAACTAATTATTATTTGGACTGGCTGCTTCGCTGCTTTCTGGCGATTTGTGTGGATTTCCACCATAAAGGCACCACATGACTTTTTAAAGAGGTTATGACAGGTTGTAATGCTTTTGGTTGATCATTCTTGATTGGAGAGCACCATAGATGTTTGCTTTGACTCAATTTACTCACTAGGCCACTGTGTTTATTTTCTGCAAACTTTCTTACATCGTGGTGCACCCAGGATGGGAAATTGCTATTTTGAAACCTGTAACTAAGACCTGAAATTGGACTTAATGTTTAAAAACCCAAGACACTTTTATTGTTTTTTGTTTTCTCTTTGTGCTTCAGATGATGGACTTTGCGCCTCGCAGCCACCGTATCCTTCTCATGAGACATATTTATGGGTCTGTATCCAGAAATGAATCCCAACTTGAAAGCCGGCCTGGCGGTGCAGCGTTTCACTCATTAACCCTTTTTTCTTCCCAGCACCTCGCGGCAGCCTCTTCCCCACAAAACACATTCGTATAGCTGCCAGTCAGGTCAACGCTGCAATTAAGCTGCTTTAAACTTGTTCAGTGGAGCTTAGAGGCTGTAAAAATACTTCCGCTTGAGTGTCAGTGGGAGCCTGTGACGGTTAACGTTGCATTCATTGGGGAATACATTGTGTCTAGTTAATGTAAGTAGTCTGGTCAGTGGGTCAAAAGGGCAACGTGACTAAAGAAAATGAGGAGGCGCAGTAGTTTACAGCTGGCTGGGAGGAACCCGGCCAGCTTCATCAGACTGATTCCTCTCCTCTTTATTTGTCAAACATCAAATTTCTCAAGCAACAGAGAATTTATGGACACATTTCCATGTTTGTCTCCATCCAGATGGACCGAGTTTTATGAGCGTGCGGTGCATGTCAGACAGTGAAACTCGTGCTCTGATTACCAGTCAGTCAGGACAGGCGTCATCAATCTTTGGTCTTCAGTGAATGGCAGACTGGCTGCCATAAACAGGGCCTGATTGCAGTGTGCTGTTCCCAGCGGAAGAGTTTTCAGTCCAAGGGAGGAATGGAAACAAAACCCTGCAGATACAAACAACGTGTGTGGGACCTGTGCACTGTGCCACGTCCTAAGATGGC